AATTTCTCCAATTACCAAATTCTCCAATCCGAAGGTCCCTTCTATATCGAGATGTATGTAAGTAGTATGGATTCCCTGCACCTTTCTAAGTAGACATTTCATAAACTTTCCATTCAATCCCCTGCGATTGTAAAGACGTTACCAGGTGTATAATGCGATGTTGTATTTCATAAAAATTGAGTACCTCGTTTCTTTAAAAAAAATCGACAAAATTTGTAACGTAGACACTAAAACAAGGTACCGTAAAACGGAGTATCTGTCATAATGCGGGTAATTTTGATAGTAGAATATAAAGATTAAATTTACCTTCTGTACTATTTCCCAACTGGAAACATTGCAATAGTGGCTTATTCAATAAAATTTAATAAATCTTGCGATCAGCTTCAATTTCAGGCATTCATTAATCACAGCTAACATTAATTATCAACGTCATATTATGATTGATCAAACAATTTAAATTTTGGTTGCCTGAAACTGCCATTTTCAGAGAAATTGCAATTACAAAATAGGTGAAATCTTGTTTTAAAATTGCTTTACAAAGCAAATGAAGGGATTTTTTTTCCTCTGTTCGGACCTAACACTACTGCGACCAGTAATTTGATCTATTGTAGTATATGCCTTGTACTAAGTTTAGTGCATGACGTATTACTCCTGAAACACCCTCCAAAGGCGCGCCCCTTTGTCAGTCAAAATTGGATTTCCTAGCAACAAAATTAAGGAATGAAATTGATAGTGACCATGCATCAGAACCCTAATCTTAACCACTTCAAACCAGGGCCTCACAAAGTCACTTTAAATCGAAAATCGTCAAGTGACGATGAAGCTGTCAACCATCACTTTCAATTGAAAAGCATTCTGTCTTCTCTTCGAGCAAATCCCCGTCAACATCAACACAACCACTTTCGATCGCTTTTTATGCTGTTTGTTTTGGTTTGACTCGTGTTCATTTCATCTTTCATTGTCAAATGAACCTACTTTTGCATTGAAGCGAAGCTGTTCGATCCAAATTCGCGCAGTTTTTATGACTTTTGTTGATTGTTCACTCGGTTCATTTAAGCGTGTGCGCATAAATCTGTGCACGTGGTTGTAAAATTTATCATTGTTGGGTGGTTTTTTTTTTTGTATTTTGGTATTTTTGTAATCGGAATGAAGTCTACAGATCGAAAATTGATATGCGATGCCAATTCGAAATTCAAGATGGCGGCTTCCGATATCAGAACAAGTGGGAAATATTGTCAAATACCCATCAATATAGGTATTTTTGAAATCGTATTGGCGTCTAGAGGCCGGAAATCGATATCCGACGCCATTTTTAAATCAAATATGGCGGCTTCCTATTTCAGAAAAAATAGGAAATGCTGATGCCGTCCATCAATTTGGGTATTTTTGGAAACGCGGTGACGTCGGGAGATTGGAAATCAATATCCGACGGCATTTTGAAATCCATGATGGCGGCTTCCGGTTTAAGAAAAAGTTTTAAATTATATCAAATACCCATACAAACGGTTCTTTTTTAGAATCACGGTAACATCTAGAAGCAGAAAATCGTTATCTAACGCCGAAAATTGATGTCGCTTTAAACCCAAGATGACGGCTTTGGTTCAGAAAAACTGTGAAACGACGCCATATTGTAATTCAAGATGGTAGCTTACAATTTCAGAAGAAGTGTCAAATAGCCTACAAATGGCATCTTATATCGATTTTCAGCATCTACGCGTGGTCTCCGTACCGAAAATACCCAGATCTTAAGGGTATCTGACACTTTTTTTGAAACCCGATGGCTGCCATATTGGATTTCAAAATGGCATCGAATATCAATTTTCGGCATCTACACGTTGTCCCTGTTCTGAAAATAACCATATTGTAGGGTATTTGACACCTTTTCTGAAACCCTATGGTCGCCATATTGGAGTCCAACATAGCATCGGATATCGTTGTCACCGTGCCGAAAATACCTATATCTTGGTTATTTGACACGTTTTAGGAAACTTGATGGTCACCATCTTGGATTCCAAAATGGTGTCGAATATCGATTTTCGGTATCTACACGTCGTCTCCGTTCCGAAAATACCCATATTGTAGGATATTTGACACTTTCTGAATCCTGATAGCCGCCATTTTGGATTCCAAAATATTGTCGGATATCGATTTTTGCCATCTACGCGGCATCCCCGTTTCGAAAATACGCTATTGTAGGGTATTTGATACTTTTTCTGAAACCCAATAGCCGCCATTTTGGATTCCAAAATAACGTCGAATATCGATCATTGTCATTTTCGATTGCTCGAAATGAAGCGATTCTGCGGAGAGTTTATTTTCTTATCTTTTTTTTTTCGAAAATGCAGAACCCTGCTTCAAACTATGGAACAACGAATAGAAGATAAGGAATCACATAGATGAAGACTAACTAAATCATTTTTTCCTTGTTTCAAGTTCATCCTCGGTGGGCAAAGCCGAGTCTTGTAACTATCAACAAGGCATAAAAAGTAACAAGGACTAAGATGTGTTCCTTTGATTTTTGAAAAATCCTGTTTCCCAAGTTTGAAGTACTCAGGACTAGGAATCGGTGGTAGATCTTACATCCCGTAACGCACCACGATAAGGTGATCGACCCACGTTACGGGGCAAACGAAGGGATAAATTATATTGCCGTCTTTAGAAAAGTTGTGTATTTTGATGATATTGAAAACTTTGTAGAACATGTAAAATCGATTAGCTAAGATTTAAGATGCAAACATACTTAAAATAAGGCTGATTTTAACAGTGGCGTCGCGTAACCTCACATTTTACCTGTTCAACAACTTTGAAAACGTTATTTAGGGACATGCTTACATTCAAATCAGTTTCAAAAGGCACAGGATCTTCTAGTTTCACTGATTTGTATCCATTGGAATCAATATTGTTTTATTTGTTTACGTTTTATGAGTTGTTGAACAGGTAGATTGAGGTTAGGGCGACGCCACTGGATTTTAAGGTAGTTTTGACAAAAATCCATTTATATCTAGCTAGACTTAGGATGTAGAAACTTAGTGTCTTCAGAAAAGTTCCATGAAATTCGAAGTTCTACAACTTTGCCATAAACCTTTTACCTTGTGATTACAAAAAGTTAGTTTTTCCAAGCGTAATACCACCTTAATAACAGGGTGTCCATCCAACCGGAAAAACCGGGAAATCCGGGAAAAAACCGGGAATTCGGATTTACCGGGAAAAAAACGGGAAAAAATGCTGGAAAACCCAAATCGCACCGGGAAAGATAATGTATACTCATCCTAAGTAACAATTTTGGTTTTATCATAGTCTTGTAGGCCATAATTTAGTCTTCAAGAATCATTTAAACCCTTATAAAACTTGCATTTTTACATGGAATCAATCATTTTTTTTTAATATGCACTTCTGTTTAAAATTTTCATATTATGCTTTCACTGTGGTAAAGTATCAAAATTCCTCAAAATTACAAAACAAATCTATTCTTTTCTTTCATTTTTTTGGAGCATGTGGAGCTACCAAGATAGCTTACAGGGTATCTTTTTTCTTCTTTTGGTTGTCATTGGATGAACATTTTTTTGAATTATTTTGCTACAGTTCTCCGAGTAAAGTAGTGTTAATATAGAGCCTAACCGAGACATATCTTGTCACGAAGCTACTTGAAGATAGAGAAGCAAATTCATGCCAATTAAAAAAAAAAGTCCGATCTCAAACTCCTTGCATACCCGATCATGCTTGGCCTGCAAATGTTCGACACCGTACACAATCAACGAACTTAAAAAAAATCATGAGATGATTGGTCCAGAGATAAATTAAAAATAATTTCTGCACTTTGTGCTAATCAGGTACACAAGATTAGTCAGGATATCGTAGAATACCTTGGTTAGCCTGTAAAATATAAAGATCTGAATCCATACCTCTCACGCTGAAGTCAATGTATTTGATTATCTTAGAGATAAATCATCCACCTCAAACGTAGGGGTAATCATCATTATCATGAACTTAAATCTTACCGGGATAAGTCACGAATGATCCATGAGTGTTAAAGTTACTATTATATATAGTATAATATATAATAATATAATAAAAAAAATAATAAAGATCTGAACTCCAGAAATTTTGGAAAACCTAATATTCCAAACCACACAAGCAACATTTTCGACTTCAATGTGGTCTTTAAGTCCATTCTAAGCCTATGAGGCCTCTTCAAAACCATGATAAAACCAAAATTGTTACTTGGGCAATTATATTATGGGGCTTCCCGAAGGTTTACCCATTCTATCATTAAGTCGAATCATCGTATTGATAATCTTAAATTATATTTCGAACGGAGACTTAAAATGCTCAAAAGTGGAAATCGAACAAGATATATATTAACCTGTAAAATATCTCCAATACAATTTAAATATTTTGGCAACACATTGTATTCCACCAAATGTTTTTAGGCATATAGAACTTCAACTCCTGGAAGATTTTAAGAATTTTTAATACTTCGTATTGATTTATGCTTTTTTCAATATACCAAAACAACATTTAGGCTAAATTTTTGCAGGAGACCCTTTGATTTTATACGAATTTATGCTTCCATGAGATTTTGGAGATCTAGATCAACAACATGTTAATGCAAATCTTATCTTATATTTTTCTGCAAAATTTACGTATTGTAGAGCAATTCTGCTGAAAAAATATGATTATCTATAAACAGTTATTTTTTAATGCCTTTTACCGGGAAATATGAGAAAGATTTTGACCGTATTTTTTCCGAATGGTCCCACTGTGCCAACGGTGGCAAATTTCGGCGATCGATCCGTGCCTGCGAGTCGTTGTCAAAGTTGACGTTATCAAAGCTATATTCCATGGTTCCGCCGCCGGCGCTTTATAGATATTAAACCATTCTGTGAATTCCATAATTGGCCTCCAATGTTTAATAATAGATTTTAATTGTGCGAAGAAGCTGCCATGTCACATTCTAATCCCTCTGTTTTTTTTCAATTTTCTCGCCAACATTCCAACAGGTGACGTTCAACAAGCGCAAATTCGGCGTCATGAAGAAGGCGTACGAACTGTCGGTGCTGTGCGATTGCGAAATAGCCTTAATCATCTTCAGCAGCACCAACAAGCTGTACCAGTATGCCAGCACCGACATGGACAAGGTCCTGCTGAAGTACACCGAGTATAACGAGCCGCATGAGTCGCTGACGAACAAGAACATTATCGAGGTACGCCGGAGTGTGCTGTGTGAGGTGGAGTGCCGCTGCTGGGTTTTCCACATGCAAAGTATTACCTGCACCACCACAAAGTTGAATCAAAAGAATAACAACAACTACTACCCCTTTTTTCCCCCTGCTGCAGTCTCTGCATTGAGTAACATACATACACACACACACCCTCCCCTCTCTCTCTCTCTGCTTCTTTTGTTTTTCTTTCTTCTGTAATATGCCGTAATGATTGCGTTAGATTTTGTTGTTACTGCCGCGTTGCCTTTTTCCGTTCTTTGTGATCCCGCCCGACCGACGACTTAACCTTCTACGCGGTGCTTTTATGTTACATGAGTTCCTTACGTTGTTAGAATTTTGTTTTTATTTTCGTTTCTTCCCACTATATTTTGCATTCGTCGTAACGAACAGGTTGTTTGATGTGTTTTAATTATTGCATATTTCCTTTCTCCCACTTGTGCTCCTGTGGTCGCAAAAGGCTTACATCATTTCGGGTGCTAATCATTCAACGAACAAGTAACATTGTATCACTTGGAAAAAAGTTAATTGTGGCAGCGTAGATTTCTGCCTCATTTTTAGCACAGGAAGAGTTGAGCAAAAAGTTTTCGTCCTCGTGAAGTGAACTTTGGCCAACTTATGATGCTCCCGACGAATTCTTAGATAAGAAGTTTTCTTGTATAATGCAACCGGCTTTTCAGAGAAAATAATTCGAAGTGATGTAAAAGTGTTACGAGCAGGGGCAGGTTTTTCCTGGAGTGCTACGGAAAGAATACGTATCTGTTATAAGATTTTGTTCGTGAAATAATCCCACCGGTGGCAGAAGGTCAAATTTATTTTAAGGTCGTTTAATTCGTAGGTTTTTTTTGTTAAGTCGTCTGGAGGTCGCAGCTGTACGAATGGTCATAATCTGAATTCTGAAGGTTCCTACGGCTTCGTATTGATATTCAGCTTGTTGTTGAGATTTTGTAAGTTTAGCTGTCATCAAAATCAGTTCAACTTTCTACATCGGTGAAGCCCTGTCATGGTGGTTACGCATGGTTACTTGGTTACTACATAAGGGAATTTTCGAGATGAATGAATGCTCATGTGTTCCTGTGAAGACAAGTACCAAAGGCATTAAGGACTTTGTGGATGCAAATTTTCATTAGGCGCTCTCGTAGTGAAAAATTATTGGTCCGCCCCTTGCGTTAAAATCAAACGCTAGGAAAATATTTCGCCGAATTAAAAATATAACAATTGTATACTGATTGAGTTGGTCAGATTTTATAAGTTTTTTGCGGGGTACATATCAGCGAAACTTCAGGACAGTTCCACTAGTTTAAGGAAAATTGCAGGAACTTTTATTTGTTCTGAGATATTTTGGAAACTTCAGAGTTTCTTAGAGCAATTTATAACTTCAGGAAAGCTTCGAATACTGCAGATATGTTCCAAGCAGGGTCCTACATTTTCGAAGCTCTAAAATGAGCTCGAGTTTGGTCTCTTTCATAAAACGTGTTTAACGCATCATTTTCACCTAGCTAGACTATCAGCACGAAACGAATATGAAAAACAAGCACGCTTAGAACCAGGGCCCCACAAAGTCACTTTCAATCGAAAATCTTCACGTGACGATGAAGCTCTAAACCATCACTTTTAATTGAAAGTCATTGTGTCTTTATCTTCAAGCAGATCCCCGTCAACATCAACAGAACCTTTTTCGATCGGTTTTCATGCTGTTTGTTTTGGCTTGACTCGTGTTCATTTTAGCGTGTGCGCATAGATCTGTGCACGTGGTTGTAAAATTTATCATTGTTGGGTGGTTTGTTTACCCATCCATATGGGTACTTTTTGAATCGGGGTGACGTCTAGTGATCGAAAATTGATATGCGACGCCATTTTTAAATCCAAGATGGCGGCTTCCGATTCCAGAACAAGTGGGAAATATTGTCAAATACCCATCAATATAGGTATTTTTTGGGATCGCGATGACGTTTAGAGGCCGGAAATCGATATCCGACGCCATTTTGAAATCCAATATGACGGCTTCCTATTTCAGAAAAAAAGTGGGAAATGCTGATGCCGTCCCATCAATATGGGTATTTTTGGAATCGGGGTGACGTCTGGAGATTGGAAATCAATATCCGACGCCATTTTGTAATCCATCAAATCCGGAGTGATTTGAGATTTGGGCGTAATTGCTTTTGTAAACAAAGACGTCAATTGTCGATTTCTCTTGAAATAAAGCTCAACTTAATAAACAAACTATACCAAATGATAGGGGAATCATTCCTGTACCTCATAGCGTTAGTAGTTTTCGAGATTGAGCTTTTATTCGCGAGAAATCGGTGATTGACGTATTTGTTTACAAATTCAATTACGCCCAAATCTCAAATCACTCTGGAAACACCCATACAAACGGTTTTTTTTAAGAATCCGGGTAACGTCTAGAAACCGGGAATCGATATCCAACACCATTTTGTAATCCAAACGGCGGCTTCCGATTTGCGGAAAAGTGTCAAATACCCTAAAATATGGGTATTTTCAGGATGATATCACGCCGTCTTTTTTGGAATCGGACTGACATCTAGAAGCCAGAAATCGATGTGCCAGGCCATCTTGAAATTCAATTTAAGAAGAAGTGTCAAATAGTATACAAATGGCATCGAATATTGATTTTCAGCGTGGTCCCCGTTCCGAAAATACCCAGATCTTAGGGTATTTGACACTTTTGTGAAACCCGATGGCCGCCATATTGGATTCCAAAATGGCATCGAATATCGATTTTTACATGTACACGTTTTCCTAATTCCGAAAATACCCATATTGTAGGGTATTTAACACTTTCTGAACCCTGATGGCCACCATATTGGATTCCAAAGTGGTATCTGATATCGATTTTTGGCATCTACGCGTTGTCCCTGTTCTGAAACTAACCATATTGTAGGGTATTTGACACCTTTTCTGAAACCCTATGGATCTTAGGGTATTTGACACGTTTTAGGAAACTTGATGGCCGCCATTTTGGATTCCAAAATAACGTCGAATATCAATTTTCCGCACCGTCGTCCTCGTTTCGAAAATACCTATATTGTGGGGTATTTGAGACTTTCCCTGACCCCGATGGCCGCCATCTTGGAGTCCAGAATGGCCTCGTTAATTTAATTTTCGTTCAATATAAAATAATATCTTATTACTACACCTAATCTGATAGGGAAGGCTATCGGCAACCTATATTGTGCGGATACTATCCGGATACTTTATTTTGATGCCTGCGTCGTCAGGTGGTGACAAGTCGAATGAGCCCCGAAAAAACGAAGGAAGCAGTTTTCGAGTCATTCATTGCGTCAATTGAAACAAGTCTTTGCTTCAAATGAAATTGAACTGAAGCACTCGACGAACGAAACAAGTGATAGTCCAGTCATGTTTGAAAAGAGAAATGTTCATCGTGACTCGATAACAAGAAACACGATGACTTACACGAAAATGATATTGCTCGAAATGAAGCGATTCTGCGGAGAGTTCATTTTCTTTTCTTTTTTTCGAAAATGCAGAACCCTGCTTAGAACGAAAGGCTGGCTGTGGATTTTCGCGTCGTTGCTTTGCTCATCCCTTTCAATGAAAGTAACGTCTATTATCGAGATGAAACGAAACCTTGTGGCTCTTAACCCCTTTCACCGACACCATATCATCGCTCTTTCAATTTGTTTAATATGTTTTCGTAATTTTTTTTAAGATTAATATGTGGATGGAAGCTAAATTAAATGTGTAGTCTTCAATCTTTATATGCTTAAAATATATATTTTCATTTTCCGTCATGAAAGACGATAATGTGAAGCCCTGGTTTCAAGAACATTAGGAAATATGCGAAACATTCAGAGAAGTTTGAAACACCGAGAACTACAAGATAGTTCTGAGCTCTGGGGATGTTTAAAGATCTTTAAGGGGTAAGTTCCAAAAACTTCAGGGCAGTTTCATGAACTTCAGTAAATCAATCAGTCTATTTTAGAAATTTTAAATGAACTTCAAGAAAGTCCAGACATATTTAGGTATGTTTATTGATCTTTTAGAAAGGTCAGAGAGCTTCGGGAAGGTTCTGAGAACTTCATAGAAGTCCCATGAACATCCGAAAAATTGCGGAAATTCCTGGCAAATTTTGGCTACTCCCGGGTATTTTTTCCCCTGTTGGGTATATTCATCACTGCAACCAGTCAGTGTTGGGAAAATATCAAAGAATCAAATCTCACCAACGCCCAAGATCACGCTTGATTTTCGTAGACAAAAATCAACAAACAAACAACTGCGGTTGATTTCGCAAGCTGTGATTTTGCAGCTCGGAATATCAAACTAACAAAACTCACCAGCTGCAAATCTCACCAAACTGTGGTGAGATTCAGTTGAATGATTTTTGCTTTACACCCGAATGCAACCGAAACTTCCAAAACGGCTTACAGCAGTCCCTTCGCGTCTGCCATCGGTGAAGATTAAATAGAGATAGCAAACTATGCTTTCTCTTTCTAAGAAAACGATGTACAACTGAATCATTTTTGTGTCGAGTCAACTCTCAGCTTGATCTTTGCACGTTGTGAATAGTCTCGCAATATCAAAGGAGCTGGTAAAATCAATATCAAGCATGATATTTTGTTCCAATATCACACGTGATATTGCGAGCCCATAAGAGCGGAAAAATATCAATTGATTTCTGATTTTGCCAACACTGATTCTGCAACCATTACTTTGATATATTGTGATATTCCAAAACATTGGATTAGCTTCTGAAAAAAAATGTAGGTTGTTTAAAGATATTCCAAGAAAAAAGTCCAGGAAACTTCGATCATAGTTCGGAGTCCTATGATCGTCAAAAAATCTGGAACTTAAATGAAGTTCCGGGAAATTAAAAAAATATTGAAAGCATTTATGAGCAATGACGAATCGGAAAAAAAGCTCGATCTTCTCCGATTTGTTTAAAACTTTGCATAATTGTGTGTTATGGGAAATCATTTACATTTTTACCCAAAAATATCGGT